TTGCTCGGCCGCGGCGCGCAGTGACCGGGCCTCTTGCAGACGGTGGGGAAGAGCAGCAAGATGCTGCAGCACATCGACTACCGCATGCGGTGCATCCTGCAGGACGGGCGCGTCTTCATCGGCACCTTCAAGGCCTTCGACAAGCACATGAACCTCATCCTCTGCGACTGCGACGAGTTCCGCAAGATCAAGTGAGCGGCGCGGCCCGGGCCCCCCCCCGCCCGGTCCCGTTCGTCAGACCCGAAACTGCCGCGGTGTGAGCGGCACCGGGTCTCGGTTCTTCCCTAGTAACGGAAATACACTTCCCTGTCGTGCCAGCATCAGTCCCTGTGAGGCTTCACTAAGCATCCCGGGGACAGCACACACCCTGTGGCTGGGCTTCTCTGTGTGCTTCGTGTGAGGCATAGCAAAATGCGGTTTGTGTTAGGTGCTCCTCTCTGGAGTGCCCTAGTCAGATATTCTGTGCAAATTCAAACAGCAGCAATGGGTTTTTTTTGTTGGTTTTTTTTTTTTTTTTTCCTTCTGTCTTGCAATTTTTTGCTTTCTCTTCTCACTAGACCTAAAAATTCAAAACAGCCAGAGCGGGAAGAGAAACGAGTTCTTGGTCTTGTGTTGCTGCGAGGAGAAAACCTGGTGTCCATGACAGTTGAAGGACCACCTCCAAAAGATGTAAGGAGAATGAGCGGAGAACTAAGGACAAAGGGAAGGGACATATGATAAATTTACTTCCCTGCAGGAGAATGCTAGTATTGTCTTAGACTTCCCAATTTGTCCCAGGTTTCACTGCAGGAAGTTCTAGTCCGTTTGTGTGCTCAGACATTAATTGGACAAAAGAGGTCTGCGGGCATCCCTGGGATCTGAGGACTTTTGTTTTGATACATCTTTCTTTTTGGGGGGCTCTGTTTTCAGACTGGAATTGCCCGGGTACCTCTTGCTGGAGCTGCTGGAGGACCTGGAGTTGGGAGAGCAGCAGGGAGAGGAGTTCCAGCTGGTGCCCCCATGCCCCAGGCTCCAGCAGGATTAGCTGGCCCTGTTAGAGGAGTGGGAGGACCATCCCAACAGGTGAGATGCTGTGACACATTAAAAAAGGGTTGTCTGGTATATTCTGGAGTGGTTTTTAATTCTTGACACCAATGATGTGATGCAAGAAATTGGTGGAGCGGAAAAACTAATCTTAGTTTCTGTTACCAGGGAGTTTGAGCCTGGCAAGGCTTTTTTGGTACGAGGTCCCCCTAGGAACAATGTGTTGTATGATGGAAGAAGAGGCTTGGAAAGTGCAGCTTCTTGCAGTTTTGTAGCATTATTTAATGTTAAGAGCAGACTGATGTAATTTTCTGAAGGGATAGTAATTTAAATCTTATTTTTTAGTTATTAATGTAAAGCAAACGTTGTGCTGTTTCTCTGTGAACGTGTTTATTTTGTTTACAGGTGATGACACCTCAGGGTCGTGGAACCCGCTGCAGCGGCCACTGCTAGCATCGCAGGAGCCCCAACTCAGTACACACCAGGGCGTGGGGGTCCTCCCCCACCCATGAGCAGAGGAGCACCTCCTCCAGGTAGGAACCCCTCTATAGAGGGGGGCAGCAAGCAGCTTACGTTATGGGGCAAAATTGGTGATAAAAAGGTGTTTAGCTGAGTCTGATGAAGATCTGGTATTACGGAGGATTATTCCGCTATCCAACTCGTGCCTTGAACGTTCAGCGGGATTGAGATGCTTGTTCTTTCTCTGGGTTAAGGAATGATGGGACCTCCTCCAGGCATGAGGCCACCGATGGGCCCACCCATGGGAATGCCCCCTGGCCGAGGTGCTCCTATGGGAATGCCCCCACCAGGCATGAGACCACCACCCCCAGGAATGAGAGGTGAGTAGAGGTTCTCTTAAGTGCCTAGAAGCCCTATGTAAAATGGGCAAAGGGTGATGCATTTCAGTGCTTCCCTGGCTATGCTAGTTGTCCGTAAAAGCCTCAGTCCCAACAAAGGGGTCCCAAGGCCACTCTGAGCATGGTGAAAATGTATTTCCAGTTTAGCCTTGCTTCCTCTTTCCTCAACATTCAACTCTTTCATTTATTCCCAGGACCCCCTCCACCTGGCATGCGCCCTCCAAGACCGTAAGACATTCTATAATGTACCTTTGAACTGTGAGAAGACTGATTAAGGGAAGATACTGAGCAGTACCACCTGTCAAAACTTTGCTATGTATATTTTATATTTACTGCTTGTAAAGTTGGCCGTTTTTAATAAAGTTGGAAAACCCAGTACTTGGCACCACTGTTGTACTGGTCTGTTTCAGACCAGCAGCTGTTAACCTTTCACTGCTGCACTGTGGTCACCACAGAAGAGCAGGTCTGAAGCAAAAAGCTCAGTTTGTAGGGACAGCTCAGACATGAACAGCTCGTCTGGGCCACGTAGGTTGATATGGGGTAAATTCAAAGAAAGAGTTTTTACCATTTTGATGATATTAAGTCTAGGTTACTGATCAGAATTCTCCCTGCTTTAGTCCCTGTGGAACAACTCCAGTGGTGCCTGCATTAGGAACAGTGATTGTTGATGCTCTGCATTAAGCTGCTGCTTATTACCCTGTACTAAACCTGCTTGATCATTGTAAGTTTCTATTGCTCCTAGTGGAAAAAAGAAAGCCAGGACAAGCAAACTTACCATTAATTGCATACAATAATTTAAAACAAGCTGCCTTCTGGTTATAGTCTTCCTTTCTTGCCTTAGCTTACAGCAGCTTTATTTTCAGTTAGGAAGAAGCTGTCTGTGCTCCCCACCCCACTTTGGAGATAATCCTTTCTTCCAATAGTGGCCTCTTAGAGATTTGTGTTAATTTCTGTGACGGTTACCTCGAAGCCATCTTTGTGACAGGAATCCTGAAAACTTTTTTTTCACTATTTTAGAAATAGGTTCTCGCACACAGAAATCCATATCAATTAATCAAGGTCACAGAAGTATATGAACAAAGCAGTAACGTGTTTTCCAGTTTTGCCCTAAAGACAACTTGATTCACATGAACTAGAAGTCTGATAGAAAGATGTAACAGATCCCAGCTAACAGTTGCTCTAGCTATCCAGCTATCCTATAAAACAGTAAACTTTTTAGGAAAACAAAAAAAAGAATCAATCCTTTATTGCATGGGCTGAAGATGTTTTCACACAGGCTCTTCAACCAGGTATTAAGAAACATTCCAAAGCTATTCCAGAACTTGAAGAAAAACTATTCCATTTTATTGAAGTTGTCTCCTCATGGTGTAAAGAAATCCAGGCCCCAGAGAGAGCGTGTCTGCAATGCCTGTGTTGTCCAAATTACCCATCTGGTAATTACCAATAGTTCTTACTTTCTCCTGTACCTGAAAGAAAAGATAGTTGAAATTACATTGCACTAGATCAACTGTCAATGATAGATAAGGAATGGCACTGAGCATTTTCTAGCATTTCTCCCAGGCAGAAGCCTAGGAATGTGCTATTAAAGGCAGTATCCTTGATTGCCCCCAGCATCAGACCTGCAGTAGGAGGGTAAGCTACTACAGAACCAACAAACCTTTTTGGAAGGGCCTTTAAACATTCACAAGAGGAAAGAGAAAGCAGCAAAAAAACCCCCCAAAACTTGAATAAGAAAGTAAAGGGAGCTATACCTGGACTTGGATTTGAAGTTTCCTCCTTTCCTGTGTTGGGCCATGCCCAAGCGTTTTCGATCTTCAAATGATGGGCTTTTTAAGAGAGAGGGGAGGGGGGAAGGTAAGACAAAAATCACTGAAGTATGGCAACAGCACAGGTACTTCTTGCAAGAATCCCTTCTCTGCCCACCTTTTACCCCAATATCAGTTCAAGTATCCCTGAGAAGTCCGGAGATGCAAAATAATCCTACCTACTCAAGTCTGGACTCATGTACAGCTGTTAAGACCTTACCCAGCACGGTACTGCTTCAGAGCCTTCCTGCTTGTGTTGGTAAGCTCTTCATCAAACACAGACTGTTTTTTCTTCCGCTTGGGGCCTAACACAGAGACAACAGTCAGAACATTGACTGTAAGGAGAAGGCCGCAGCATCATCTTGTGTACTGGAGCCCAGTAGCCTTGGCCACAACAATCAGCCTAACCCTCAGGAAAAGCAATGACTCCCCTCAGCAAACACACGCCCTGGCCAGCGCCGGTGGCTGTTCATGACAGATCAGTGCCTCCCTCTACGCGGATTAGTTTAGTTTACCTATTTGTAACAAAGGAACTGACATAATGTAGGTCAGCTGTAAAACAAAAGTCTCCACCTGCTGGTACTGCTGCTGGTTCCTCTTCTGGCAAGGCTCTGGCTCGCTTCGCTCGGCGATTCCTTTTTGCCAGGCGCTCAGCATACATTTGAGATTTCAGGATTTCAAACTGTGACCTCTCCTCTGGCTGAAAGGCGTTAATGTGCAAGTTTAAAGTGATGTGAGGTTTTGCTAAAGGAAAGCTAGGATAGTCCATAAATGTACTCACTGTCATTTGGACTTTTTTCTGTCTGTCCTGCATAAATTTCTTCCTTTTCTTCTTGCCTCGTAATGCCAGGTCAAACTCCTGCAGGGCTTTAGCCACTGGGGAGACAAAGAAAAACAGAATAAAGAACCTCTTAAAGTACAGAGCAGAGTTCAGTTGCAGCTACAGCACTTAACCCGGCAGCAGCGTAATGACTCACATTTCTCTTTCTTCCTCTCCTCACGGGTCTGGAACCAGCTCCGCTCCAAACCCTCACCCACAGTCTTTTGTTTTCCTGTCTCCAGCTGCTTTTTTGCCCTATTGATCTGAGATAATTCAGGCAAGAAGTGAGCTCATGGTGGCTAAAAAAATATATCTCTCTTCTCTTCTAACACAGGCAGCTTAAGTACATTAAGTAACCTCCTTATGCACTGTTATCTACTCCAGAGCCTAGGAAAAGAAAAAAAAATCCCCAAAAACCCATTACCTGGGCCTCTGACTGCTGCATCTCACGTTCCTCACGCTCCAAGCACAGAACTGCATACACATCTTTTTCTAGATTCTCAATTTTCTCTCGAAATTTTAGTATGACATCTGAAAACAATACAGTGTGAGCATCAGAAGCAGCTCGGGCACAGTTCGTCTTGTTTTCCAGCCCCTCTTTTAGTGTCCTTTTGTACCGCAATATTCTCTGCCTACTGCTCTCCTGCTTTTTACCTCAGTGAAGTGTGTACCTTGGGGGAGAACTCTGGCTTTCACTGGTGTTTTGGCAGTCTTCACAATATCCTTCAGCATCTTGCGCTCTTCCTCACCCACAAGTGAAACAGAACGACCGGCCCTGCCTGCTCTCGCTGTCCGACCCACTCTATGAACATAGTGTTTGGTGGTGTTGGGCATGGTAAAATTGATCACCTGTAACAGGAACAGTGTTAGCAGGGAAACAATACGACAGGACTCATTAGAACGCTCAGCACTGCAAATACTCACTGTTTTAACACCTTCAATATCAAGTCCACGTGCAGCCACATCTGTAGCTACCAGAATATCGATCTGCTCATCTTTGAAGCGCCTGAGCAGAGACAGCATATGCATTAGCAATGAATATAGCAATCTACTTCTTCCCTAAAACTTCCAACTCCTAACTTCTTTTTTGCCTACGATTGCCAGCTAACCCTGCTAATACCTGAGTGCTTCCAGCCGTTGGGCTTGAGAGAGATTCCCATGAAGCTCCCCAACTCGCAGACCCATCAGCCCAAGTAGGATGTGCATACGGTGAGCTTGCTTCTTGGTCTGGGTGAAAAGCATCACATGGTCTGGGAAGGTTCGTGTCAGGAGAGCTGAAAGAAAGTCCTCTCAGGAGCCTGCTTCATAGTCACCTATGGATTCCAGCTTTTCTTTGCTCATCTCTAACCTGATACAATGGCCTCACGGTCCCCCTCTCGGTTGGGTCTGTTTTTTCCTGCTGCAGGAAAGGGGCAACATCTGTGTTGCTGTTCACAAAAATTCGGATGTGATTTTTCAAGGAAACAGAAGCCAAATCTTTCACCTACCAAAACAGTTTAAGAAAGAAAAATAAGTCCACACAATCTCTGGCAAAATACTAGACAAACTTCTATTCAACTTTCTGCCTCAATGTGCTTCTCAGCAGCCTGTCTTACCTCCTCTGTCATTGTGGCAGAGAAAAGCATTGTCTGACGGTGGCTGGAGCACAACCTGATTATTTCTTTCATCTGTTCCTCAAAGTATTCATCCAGCATCCTACACAGAAGAAGAGCAGCAAGGTAAGGCAGCTTCATCTGGTTCTAGCTGAGAAACATTACTTAAGGCAGGGCAACAAAGACTGCCCTGTAGCCTCGGAAAAGGAAAGCAGAAAACAACCATCTCATTTTTCACTGCTGTCCTGCTTTGCCTACCTGTCTGCTTCATCCAAAATCAGCACCTCAACACTGCTCAGGTGGAAAGAAGGGCAGTTGTGGAGATGATCAATGAGTCGCCCAGGAGTGGCAATAAGGATGTCTGGCCCAGAGCGCAGAGCTGCTTCCTGAGTCTTCACGTCCAGGCCACCTGAAAGAGAGTGGACACGGACTGCTGACTCCCTGAGCAGCTTGCAGCAGGGTACACAGATCCAACCTGCCTGTGGAACGGGAAACAACTCAGGTTAATGCCACACACACAATTAGAAGTGAGCTCACCTTTTCTTTCTCAGAAACCAACAAACAAACAGTACAGCACGGAATTGGAGAGTGAGATTTTAAACCACAGAACATCTACTAGCAGCATGCTTGCAGTAACTGTACAGCCTCCAGTTTCATAACACAGAATTCCCAGCTCTGCAGAGCGGTTTACAGCGAGCTGTACAGTTCACATGAGCAACTTCACACTCACCTACAGCAAGGCAAGTTGTAACACTGCTGAACTGCGCCAGCTGCTTTGTGACAGAATGCACCTGAATTCCCAGTTCTCGTGTTGGCACTAGAACCAGCACCCGGGTGATTGGAGCCTGACGAGGTTTGTAAATCAGGCGCTCAAGGACAGGTAAGATGAAGGCAGCCGTTTTACCTAAAGAAAAAAATTAAGAAAAATTACCAAGAATTACTAATTATTGTGAATGGCTAATTCTCCGTGTTTCCTGTGCCCTGATCAATGCCCTACCTGTCCCAGTGGCAGCACAGGCACAAATATCTTTCCCCAGAAGGCCCACGGGGATACATGCCTTCTGAATTGGGGTTGGTTGCTTGAAGCCAAGAGCTGTGATTGCCTACAAAGGAGATAGAGCGATGAAACTCTGTCTTGCTACAGCCACACCTGCAGCGCTGCGCCCAGTGCTGGGCTCCCCAGCACCAGAGAGACATGGACACCCTGGAGACAGCCCAGCAAAGGGCCATGGAGAGAAGGAAGGGACTGGAACACCCCGCACGTGAGGAAAGGCTGAGGGAGCTGGGACTGTTCAGCCCAGAGCAGGAACTTGTCAACAGGTATGAACGCCTGCAGGGAGGGTGCAAAGGGGACAAAGCCAGGCTCTGCTCATGGGGGCCCAGCAGCAGGACCAGACGCCACAGGCACAGACTGAGACATGGGAGGTTCCCTGGGAACACCAGGAAACACTTTTTCACTGTGAGGGTGACTGAGCACGGGCACAGGTTGCCCAGAGAGGCTGCGGACTCTCCATCCCTGGGGACACTCAAGAGCTGCCTGGACACGGGCTCAGTGGCCCTGCTTGAGGAGGGGGTTGGACACAATGACCTCCAGAGGTCACTTTGAATCTCAGCCATTCTGCAATTCTGTGATGTCTCACTCAAGACAGTGTTGACATATTGCAAATCAATGAATGGGTTCCAGTATTTGGGAATAACAGCTCCTAACAGACTATCACGCTAGCTCCCACATAATTTCCTTTTCAGAGAGGCTGCAAAGAGAAGATGAATTTGACTGTTCTGGTTGGTGGAGGGGAGGCTGTACAATAGTCTTCAGAGTAACATATGTAATAATTAAACTACTTAAATACCTTTAGCAAGGGGCGTGAAAGATTCATGTCCTGGAATGACAAGTTATCATCATATTGAGAGGCATCTTCAAAAAAGTTCTCTGCTTCCTAGAAACAGCAACAACAAAATTGGAGCAACACAGGCAATAACACAACATGTTATCAAAGGGCTCTGGGCTTTTTTTTTGAGATACTGTTTGTTAACCAAAGTCAAATTTCTTCTAGAAGAAACGCTGAAGAATTACCTAGTGTCATTCTGTCCAACACTTACCATTTCTCCCTTTTTCGATCTCCTCTGTTCCTTCACTTTGACCATATCTGCAGAGAAACGTGACAGGAATTAACAAGCGCAGCTAAATGTGTAACAAGATATGGTGCCTACCTTCACCTTATACTTTTTGCTCTGTATGAGTTATTGAGGGAGAAGCCTCAGAAACAAGTACAGGCATGCAATAGAGCAAAATTCCAAGCAAATATCCTTCCTCAGAGACACGTTCAATTAAAATACCAGGGCTACCATTCTAAATAAGCCTGACCAAAATCAGAAGGAATGTCATAGAAGACAAGAAAAAATAAGAGGTTCTTCCCTACTCCCAGCAAGACTTCACTACAGACTTTTCCCCAGTGAGACAACAGTCTGTCAGATTCTTGCTCCTGACCATCTATGTACTGCTAATACCTGCTTTTGTGAAGATAGCTTCATCATCCAACGAATACTGAGACTCCACATCTTCTTCTTGGTCCCTACTGGAATCCTCACAAGCTCTCTTTTTGGTTTGATTGTCGTCAGTCTCCACATCTTCATCTCTCACTTTTGCTTGTGTAGCTTCTCGTTCCTAGAAAAAGATTTTTTTAAAAGTTTTAAAAAGAAAACCTCAATCCTTTATGAGTTTGTTATTATGAGCCCATTCAGATATGGGGTTTTGCATAACCTTCAGCATTAGCAGCTCTGCATTCTCACCAGTTCAGAACACAAGGGTGGCTACAAGCCCAGTGGAGGGGGAGGAGCCGCAGCTCAGACGCTTCCCGGGTCCGTGCCCCGGGGGAAGGCAGCGGGAGGCCAAACCCACACCAGAGAGAAAGGCCCTCACCTGGGACCTCCTTTTCTGTCTCACTTTCTCGATCTTCTCATCCAGCGTCGTAGCTGCTCTCTAGGAAGAAATCGGGAGAGAGGAGTTGTGAGAGGAGCAC